AAAAAAGAAAAGAAGGCTTGGTGGCTCCGCTTCCCTCAGGAGCAGGCGCCTGGAGCGGGCTCAGTGGCGTGTGCCTTTCATTCCAGCTACACACCCAGGAGGCCAAGGGAAGAAGAGCGAACATTTGAGGCTAGCCATGCGCGGCGCTGCAAGCCTGTAATCCCAGCGCCTGTGAGGCTGAGTCAGGAGGATCGCTGAAGCTGAGTACAAAGTGAGTTCAAGGCCAGCCCAAACTGCCTCGTGAGACCCCATGGCCAAAAAGCAACATGTGAGGCCAGCTTGGGCTCCTCAGCAGAACCCTGTCTCAAAATAAGAAACGAGAAAGGCTGAGGGCAGTAGAATCCTAGCTCAGCGTGTGTGAAGCTCTTGGCTCAGTCCCTAAAACTGCTTAATTAATCAATTAATTAAAGGTGGGTCCTGGGAATGTAGGGCAGCCTACCCTCGTTCACCTCCCAGCGTTGGGAGCAGCACCTCCGGCAAAAGGAAGAGATGAGCGGCAGCCAGGAGGGAGAGACTTGCAGTCTACAGCAGGCCCCCGTGGACAATGGTTCAACCTACTGTGTTTCGGGTTTTCACCCTCACGGTGGTGCAAAAGCAAGCAGCACTGAGAAGAAACTGTCCTCTGAGTCGTGTGGGTGGTCCTTCCCAGAGCTGACACCATGGCGTGTATGAGGTTTCGAGGTACTGGGCCACGGGGCCGAGAGCTGCTCTCGGGCAGCCGTGAGATTGTGTGAGGGGGACAGAGCCGACAGTCTACGATCTGCCACGCTGTTCCTCTGGGCTGTCTGGCAGGTTAGGCAGAGCTGACCCTTTTTTCACTTATGATATATATTTTTTTAATTTTATTTATTTGTGTGTGTGTGTGTGGCCAGCTCAGCCCACCAGGGAGCGGGGCTGGCTGCATGTGGTGCTGGGGGATTGAACCGCGGTCCCTTTGCTAAGCTTGTTCTAAATAGGTGCCTTAGACCACTGAGCCATCTCACCAGCCCCACTTATGATATTTTTAACTTGCAACGGGCTTATCCAGGCACAACTGCCTTGCAGGTCTGACAGAATCTGCATTGAGCCGAGGCAGGAGTAGTATCAGACATACATAAAGAACTCCAATGCATACAGAGCACAGGGAACCCCGAGGGCCACAGGGAGGAGGAGACGTGGGCGGCAAAGCCACGCTCAGTGTCAGCTGGTGATTAGGAAGATGCAAATTCAGGCTCCAACTACCGCAAAATCCGATACCAAGAGTTTCCCAACGTGGTGACTCACAAGAAGGTTGCAGAACGCTGGGGGGGTGTGGCAGGTCCTGTCACTTCAAGAAAGCCACTGGGGTGGTGGGCCCACCAGATCCCCCAGTCTAGGCCCCTGGAGGCTGTGAGAGGGAAGGTACTTCTTCCTGCCCCAGCCCACGTGCCCTTAAGAGATGGGGACTGTAGGGGCCAGGGCTGTTATCTGTGGATGGGATGGGAACTGACACCCCGTCCCTCCCTGATCCCCAGGCCTGGCCTCCAGGAGACACCCAGAACATGGTTCTCACCTTGAGAGGTCTGAGGGCCCCTTGGCTGGGGGACAGCGGAGAAGAGAAGGAGGGGGCATGGCACCCCATCCCTGGAAAGGAAACCCAGGCTGGGACAGTAGAGGGATGGCAGTCAGGGCACTGGCCGGGACAGGTGGGAAGCAAGGAGGTAGCCCCAGGTGCCCTGAGTCACCAGCCTGCCCTCAGCGCCCTCCCTCTCCTCTGACTTTGTCCCCAAGTCCCCCTCTGTCCAAGCGCTTCCACCACTTGCACTGCAGAAGCCTGACTCAACTTCGCAGATCCACCATGTCAGCCCCGCAGCTCTGCTTACAGGTGGGGAAACCGAGGCTCAGAGAAGCAGAGTGTGGGAAAAGGAAAGTGAGAAGCAGGGGTCACCCTGGCCCCGGGCCCATACGCATTGTGTCCCGATGTACTGTCCCCAGGAGAAACGGGCCTGGGAGGTACGGGGTGGCCAGGCAGAGGCTCCCAGACCCAGGTGCTCCCTGGCGCCACACACATCGTGTGACTCTTATTCTTCTAAGGCCAGGCCCCCGTGACCTCACCGGCTCCCCGGGAGGGCCACACACCATTGCACTGGCAGGGAAACTAAGTCTGGGGTAAGCCTGGGCTGCACAGAGAGAGTGGGAGAGACCTGGGACTGAGCCCTAGCTGGGAGACGCCTGCTAACTGACCCAGTGACTTCCTCTGCCCTGTTACCCCCGGGAGAGCAACCCGGGCTCCCCAGAGGGAAACCGGACTGTGGCTGGCCACAGCATCCTTGTCCCTCCCACTGGCCCAGTGCTCAGGTTTCAGCCTTCCGGAAATGCCGCGCCACAGGGCACAGGGCAGTCGCCTGCCCGCCCAGAAGGTCGGCCTAGGGCAAAACGGCAGCCTGGGCAGATGGGGGCCAGGTCAGCCAAAACAAAGGCCTCGCTGCCACCTCAAGCACTGCGGGGATCACAGGCAGGTCCTGTTCCCTGTTCCCTAGCCTGGGCCTCTGTTCAGTCCTGCGGGGAGCCCCGCGGCAGTAGAGGCGCTGGTGGTTCCGGCTGGCATGCGGAGGCCCCAGGGGACAGAACTGGCAAGGCTCCCCATCTGGGAATGGGGCACACGGAGGAAGGGGCAGGCAGAGACCCAGGGAAAAATAGGGCACAGAGGCCAAGGAGCCTGAACCCTGTGCGCTGGGAGGCTGACACAGGAGGATCGCCAGCTAGAGATTCGAGTAGTGAACATGAGCCATCCCTCTAGCACACGCCAGCTCAACCTCAAAGGGGTCGAGGTACCACCTGGGCGAGCTGACCTGGCTCCAGCCCCAGCCTGCGAGAAACAAGAGCCTATGGAAAGTGCCGGGTGTCGCCAAGGCCTCCAGGGCTGGGCACGGTGCATGGCTGGCAGGGAGTCCACAGGCAGCTCTTGCGACAGCTGCAAGTCACACCCCGGATGAGCCAGGTCCCTGAGGTTGTGCTCCTAGTAGACCAGGACAGTGGAGACAGATGCTGTTTCCACCCAAACTTCCAAGTGGGTGGAAACAGCCAGATAGTGGTGAGCAGATGCACTCAGGTGGCACCTCCCCCCAGTGGAATATTACTCAACCAGGAACAGGGAGGAGACACTGCTGTATGCTACAATCTTTTTTTTTTCCAGTACCAGGGATCAAGCTCAGGACCTTATGCTTGCCAGGCAAGCACTTATTCCACTGACCATCTCCCCAGCCCTGTTACAATCTACATGATCCTTAAGACTGTGGTGCAGCCAGACACATATGGCCACACCAGGCATGATCCCGATGTGCAATGTCGGGCACAGGCATATCCACAGAGGTGGGAGGCAGATTGGTGACTGCCAGGGGCTGGGGAGGGCTGGCGAGGGACAGCTTCAGGGGATGAGGCTCCTTTGAATGTGCTCAGTCACTGACTTTTGCACACTAAAGGGCAAGGTGAACGGTGGTGTGGGAGTTCCATGCATTTCAACAGCAGCAGCAGCAGCAGCAGCAGCAGCAGCAGCAGCAGCAGCAGCAGCAGCAGCAGGGCCAGGCACGGTGGCGCACACCTGGGATGCCAGCACTCAGGGGGCTGAGGCAGGAGGGTCACCGCGAGTCCAAGGCCAGACGGAGCTAATCAGTGAGATTCTCTCCCCTCAAAGAACAGAGCAAACCAAAACCCCTACCAAAACCACGGGGAAGAATGGGGCATCTGGGTCTGGGGAGTGCGTGTGAGACTAAGGGCTGCTGTGTCCCGAGGTCACCTCCGACAGGTCAACCCCATCCCTGCCGAGCAAGCACAGGGGCTTCTGGGAAGATGGAGTAGGATGCGCCTGCGACAGTGACTGAGGCAGACCTGGCCCCGTGCCGGGAACTCCTGGGCAGCGCTGAGGGCTCCCGGCCGAGAGGGCCTCGGGAGCCGGCCACACAGCAGCAGCTCAGCGCAGCCTGGCCGGGCCCGATCCGGCTCCGTGGTCAGCCCTTGCCCGTGTGCGAAGCCCTGGATCCCATCCCAACCCCAGAAGATGAATAAATAAATAATTACTGGGCCAAGGCTCCGCGGACCAGGGCGGCCTAAGCCCCTCGGGCCCGCTGCAACCTTGCTGCGTTACAGGTGGGCAAGCAGAGGCCCAGAGAGAGCTTGCTACTCAATTCCTGGCAGGGTCAGGGCCTGGGGGGGCCAGCGCGGGGGGGG